AAAAAATTTTTTAAAGCAAAGGTTTTGGGGGCAGCTGGATGCCTGGCATGGAGTTCAGGGAGTAAGTCCACTTTGGAAACAAGTGTGGGGGTTGTCAGTGCAGGCCTGACCTCTGATGCCTCGAGTCTGGCTGAGATGCCCCAGAGGGGCATCTTCCTCTTCCCGTGGAAAAAGAAGTACCCAAGAGGCATTCTAACATTTAGAGGATTGGGAAGATGAGGGCCCAGCAAAGGAAACTGAAAAGGAGGACAAAGGGGTGACCTGAAAGTCAAGGTAAAGAAGCCTCTCAAGGAGCAGGTCAGAAGTCAGCTGAGGGAATGCTGCTGATAGGTCAAGGAAGGCAAGATCTGAGAACTGACCCTTGCTTTGGCAACTGGCAGTCACTTAAAAAATTTGAGTTCAGAGAAACATGTTAAGTGATACAAAACTTCTCTATGATTACTACACTTCTTCACAACATTTATCACAACTACAAGTAATTATCTGTAGAGTTACTTGTTTAAATCTGTCTTTCCTTGATCCATGGTAAGTCTAACAAGGAAAGGGCCAAATAAGTCTTATCCTTCATTGTAATACTCAGTGGCTTAAATTTGTGCAGCAAAAGAAAGGACCATGGCATTCAAGAAAGAAGGTTCCCCTTTATTCACGAGGCAAAGGCCTGTACTTCTGAGCTGGCATCACCACCCATGCCGACCCAGCCAGAGCAGTCCATGCAGATCCAGCCACAGGAGGCTGAAGGCAGTGCTCTTCAGGTGAATTCTCCCCTTCTCTAGTCTGAAGACTTCTTCCGGCCAGGCACGGTGGCTCATGCCTATAATCCTAGCACTCTGGGAGACCGGGGCTGGAGGATCGTTTGAGCTCAGGAGTTCGAGACCAGCCTGAGGAAAGAGTGAGACACCGTCTCTACTAAAAATAGAAAGAAATTAGCTGGACAACTAAAAACATATAGAAAAAATTAGCCGCACATGGTGGCACATGCCTGTAGTCCCAGCTACTCGGGAGGCTGAGGCAGAAGGATTGTTTGAGCCCAGGAGTTTGAGGTTGTTGTGAGCAAGGCTGACGCCACGGCACTCGAGCCCAGACAACAGAGTAGACTCTGTCAAAAAAAAAAAAAAAAAAAAAACCACAAAGACTTCTTCAGTTCGCTAGCAGTTACTGGAATTTGTATTGCGGTATGGTTTGGGCCCTTTATTTAATCTACTTTGGCAAAAAAATGACTGTTTTCCTCCCAATATCCAACATTCCCTTCTTGCATAGCAATGGTTCTTAAATTCTAGCACACATTAGAATTACCTATAGCGTTTGTTGGGCCCCAGCCCCAAGAGTTTGTTTCAGTGTGTCTGGGATGAGGCCTGAGAACTAGTATTTCTAACAAATGCCCAGTGATGATAATTGTGACTAGTCTGGGGACCACACTTTGAGAGCTACTGCTTTAGTGTTATAATCTTAGCTTCGGTCATTTTTGTTTCCCCTATTAAGAAAATCTTTCTCAGATAATAATGTAAGTTGATAGAAAATATAATAACTTTCAAAATGTTTATGAAATTTGAAAAGATAACTGACAGTAACAATTCAATATTTCCAAAAAAAAAATGCCCAAGCCAAGAGAATGTGGCTTGTTAGAATAAAGTCAGATGTGCCCTAGACGCCCTGGGCAAACACATATGGAACCTACACCGCAAATTGGGCCTATTAATTAACTAAAAGTCACGACAGCCACTCCTTGAGCACTAACTCTGGGCCACCTGCTGTGCTAGACCCTGGGCAAAAAACATGTCACATACATTATCTCTCAATTTATAACAATCCAGTGAGTAGATATCATAATGCCCATTTAGCAGAGGAAGAAACTAAGTAGTAGTAGTTGGCCCAAGTTCATACAGATAAGAAAAGGTAAAACTAAACTAGAAACCAAATCCAAGCCTGCAAGTCCAAAGCTGGTGGCCAGTGTGCATGCCTGTCCCCTCAGCACTCAGGCAGGTCAACCCAACTGCTCTTATGCTCCTGGGGCCTAGCACAAGATCTGGCCTCAACATGGCACAGTGTTTACTGAAGAAGCAAAAGAAAGTATCTACTGAGGAGCTCAGGCTCATTCTTTCATACTATGCTCCATTTCCTGTTGTTCAAGGGTGGCGTGTCATAGGAAAGAAACAATGATAACAGCAAACACTTTTATGGCACTTACTATGTGCACTACTAGTCTGAGCACATGATATACGTTCACTCATTTAATCCTCATCTCCTTGCAAGTAGGTATTACTGTTGTCCAAATTCTAGAGATGAGGAAAATGAGGCTCAGAAAGGTTAAATAACTTGCACAAAGTCACACAGCCAAACTGTGGCAGAGCTGAATACCAACCCAGGCAGCCTAACTCCAAATTCCATGTCCTTAAATCATGATGTGAAGCCGTCCTCTCAAGTAATTAAAAAAAAAAAAAATCCAGAGAGAGAAGGAAAAGGAAATAGAATTTCCTAAACACCTTTTCTATGCTTTAGCTCTAACTGGAGTTAATGTCACCATCTTGGACCACAAGTCTAGCACCCACCCTCTAAAGTGGGGGGTGGCTGTGTTAGCTGACACCTGTGACAGCAGCCACCTCAAGCCTGCTGCCCAGAGGCCTCCCAAGAGTAGCAGGTCCCTGACCCTGAGTCCCTCCCATACTATGCCTCCTTGGGGTGGGGGGAATGAGAGATGAGACAGCCAGAGACAAAAAGCAGAAGCAAAGTGGTCACAGGCAGGATTGTATGACTCATGCAGGTACAATCACATTCTTTATTATTGATGATTGAAGTCAGATGGTCCTCCTGTTCGGCAGTATTGTGTTACCACATAATTAGCTGGCCTAATCATTTCAGTTCGCAGGAAAAAAAAAAACCCTTTTAAGGTCAAGAACATATTATCCATGCGCACCTTAAAAAAAAAACACACACAAAAAAAACAGGGTACTAAAAAGACAAAGAAACACGATGCAAGTGATATGAAGTGCCATGGGAAACCTATTTAGCACAAATGTTACTTTTTTAAAGTATAGATTTATTTAAAAACTTTATAACAGCTTGGCTACTTAGTTTCCTAAGAAATTTATAGCTGAGCTTTGCATACAAATTCATATTTTAATTGTATGCTATTTTAGTAAGCTACACAATAAGTGACTCAAATTCAAAATGTAAGGATCTACAAAAATGAATTCCAACAATGATATACTTAGTGAGTTCCCTGGGTCCAGACAATTACCACAGAGAATGGTAGACAACATTCAAAACAAATTTAATTTGCTGAGGCATGAAAAATGTAGTATGTGGAAACCCACCTTGTTGCCCAGGCCAGGAGCCCCAACACTGTGCCTTGCCTCACCACCACACACTGCACCCCACATCTAGCAGGTCATCAGCAAGTCTATTTAGTACTCAGAGGGGCATCCTCTGCAACCCCACAATGACCACAGCAGCAACAGGCCAGATCCCATTTTCTCTTGCCTGGACTAGTCCAAGAGCCACACTCTTGCCAGGGGTATCTCATCACTCCTTACCTAAGTAAAACACTCAGGGGCTCTGCAAAGACTTCAGGGAGAGGCAGGAAGCACAGCACATAGGCCCCATGGCTAGCTTCCTCCTGCTGCTCCTTGGGTTCAGCCTCCTGGGCTCACACTGCACCCTGTCCTGCCAGCAGAAAGTGCCCTGGCACCCAACTGCCTGGGGCCGCATCCCAGCTCTGCCACTTACTAGTTGTGTCACCCTGCACAAGTCACTCAGCCTCTATGTCTCAGTGCTTCTTTGATAAAGTGAGGATAATAGTATCTTCCTCAAAAGGTTGTTGTGAGTTTTAAATGAACGAGAAACACAAGTGCTGAATCGTTTAAAACTAGCATATAGTAATCACTCAGTACATGATCCCCATAACAATCAATTTTCTGTTATACCTTTAAACTCAATTGTCTGTGCTGCCTTGCCGAGAAGGTCCAACCACCCTGCTCATGCACCTGTGGTGCTCCTTACGATACCTGCACTGGAATCATTTCCAGAAGGGTGGTCCTCAACATGTTTGGAACCAGGGACCAGTTTCATGGAAGACAATTTTTCCATGGACCAGGGATAAGGGAGTGGGGTGTCACTGGGGGGCAGTGAGCTCAGGACTGGTACCAGGTTGTGGCCCAGGGGTTGAGGACTGCAGCTCTTGGGCACAGGTGCTGTGTCCCTTCTCCAAAGCCAGGGCCAAACACAAGGCCTACCACTTAGCAGGTCCTCAAAAGTGTTTACTGAACAATTGTCAATGAATATAAAACTGAGGTTGGAGGGGTAAGGCTGCTGGGGGAATGATGTCATAGCATTGGGCAAACAGCAGACTATCAGAATGCTACAATGGCTGGGACAGACTCAGGGACTACGAGGTGGTAACAGTCAGGGCTCCCAAGGCCACAGACTTGCTGCATCTGTGTATGAGCCCCCTCCTTACAAAGATAACACGTGCCTCCCACGGTTGGTATTGCTCCCACTGCCAGGAATAAGGCAGCCCAGTGTGATGATATAACAGGCATAGCCTGACCCTCAACCCCATTCCACTCCGGCCCCCAAAAAGTGGGCAACTTCAGAGTAAGGGGGAGATGTCTTAGCAGAGCCTGGGTAAATGGTGGCCCTAGCCTTCCTGAACCAAGAAAACCATAGGAGAAAGCTTTAATAGCAAACACAATTAATAAAAATTTGACAATAAACATCTTTGCAACGACTAGTGAAAAAACTGATTAAATTTAATCAAGCTATAAATATCTAAAGCCCAGTTCTGACAACTGCTTTCCTATGCGCATGTTACAAGCTGTAAGAAATGAAAAAGGTTAAATTCATCCACATTCTGAATACAGATTTCAATTTTAGGAAGTTGACATGCAAATAATACAAAGAGTTTTCTGATTTCAGAGTCTCAATAATGGTCATTTTTGCAAGGTTCATAAATAAATGCTGTATATATACAACAGCATATTTCCATGTTTTCATAACTTGTATACCTTTTGTACTTTCTTTGAATCTTTCTGAGCATTCTCTCGCAGTGGTACTTTTCCAAATAACTTCCATCTCAAGTCATTTTGTTTGTCAAGTCTTGCATTTTGTTTTCTAGCAAGCAAATTCCTACAGGAAGAAAATAAAAGGGTTAGGGAACTTCTGGGTATTTAAAGAAACACTAGGACAGCCGAATAGCTCTAATAAAAACAAGCAAACTTTCTATTGAGAGGGACAATGTGATGAATCACATACTTTAATTCTTCAGACTTGATTTTCATACAGACACATAATTATGCAGCAGGAGAAAGACCTTAAACCAGAAATAAACGTTTTGTTATTCAACTATTACATGTAGAAATTCTACAGTTGAGTCTGGAAATGTATTATATCATAAAGTACATCCGAAAAAGTGAGCTTTGAAGTCAGACTAAACTGAAATGAAACCCTGGCTCAACCATTCACTAGCTGTGTGACTCTGGATCAGTATATTAACCTCTCTGAGCCTTAGTTTCCTATATTAACAAGGGGACACCACCCCATGTTCCACAAGGTTGTTATACAAATTAAAATTTCAGGTACACAATCAGTATTTAAGAATAACAGCTGCTTTCGTACTTAACCACTAGTTTAAATTATCTACAAGGTAAATCTGTTATCTATTTAAACAGAGTATTCATATATTATAAAAAGAAAGTCACTCATGAGACGGTCTTCTCTCCCAAGAACATGTAAACAAAAGTTCCAAATAACACAAATAAAGCCCAACTGGTAGTACAAAATAAACTATGTTTTGGAATGCACTGCATTGGTGCATTCATTAAAAACAAATGCTTTCCAGGGCTTACTAGAATACTGTAAGACGAGCCTGCAGCATTCTGGTGTGCTAAAAAGTGCTCAAAGAAATATGAGGACATGTCAAAGAGAAACAGTAGCCAGCCTGAAAGACTTCCACTGGCTACATCTGGAACACTTTAATCATCAGAATAAATAACAAGAACTATGGATTAAAACCCACTGAATAAAACAGAAATCCATGAGCCCATATAGATATAAATAATTAAATATATAAATAAATGGAGGAGGGGGAAGCTGGACTAATAGAGTTAGCAAATGATCAATGGATGCTTAAACAAG